CTGTGCAAGAAACGGGCGATCCTAATGGAAACATTAGCACTTATGACGAGTAGAGGCGCAAAGTATGCAAGAGGAGGAAGCGAAGACACGCGAGAATTCTATTAGTCTCACCTTGACCTTAGACCACGTGCTTCCGCATGGACTCAGGAAGGACTTCCAGGTCGCGAGTCCTATCTGGATCGCGATCCTCGAGAGTCTTTCCTTTCTCGTCACTTCCCTCGTTTGACGGAGTAACTCGGGAAAAAAAAGTCACCGAGCGCTATGAGCGCTCTAGTTTACGCGAATAAACGCGGGGTAACTGAGGCTTGGTCGTGTGTCAATGGCAATGCTCCCCTACTATTTCTCTATCATAAACGAATGATAAGCGGGGAGCTCATTCAGCGGACCCATTATCAATGAAGCGGCGGTGCTGACATCTAATCATCTCTACTTACCCACGATCACCGGCCGGCACCGATTCCAAAGGTATTCTAGAACACCGATTGGTTGCGGTCTGTGCTAAGTCCGTACACGATGAATCGTTCGAGTGGAGTGAAGTGGAACTATTCCACTTTTTTTTTTTATTTTTTCTTTGGCTTCTAAGAGATAACTTGCGTAAAATGCATTTTCGATGGAGTAAAATGTAATATTTCAATTCTAAAGGAGTATTATACGTAACGTGTCTTCGTAACGTGTTGAAATTCATGGTTCAAAGATTTTTCTCCTTTGTCAAAGAGCGAGAAATTTATGAAGATCCATGAACGAAGCCAAATCGTAGAGTTATTTTGCCGAAAGGCAGAGCCGGTTATTTTTACTCGGTCTGACTTGGAGGGCGGTTTTCCCTTTGCTCGTTTTTTACAGACCGCCGCGACGCTCGGCGTCCAATTCCACAAGGCCATTAAGATTATCTTTAGCCACGAAAAACGACAAGATCGAGTTCCATTGGAACTACCAATTCGCTCGTCTCGGTTGTCGAGGGGAGAAAAAAAAAAAGGAAAGGAAATTTGTCATAAAATAAGTGATAAACGATAAAAGAATTCGTAACGAATTCGATTCTCGTTTTGTTACCAAGTCATAAGTAAAATAAATTTAAAAAGAGGATACAATTAAATGATACAAACATACTTTTCTGAAAATTAAGATTTTATTTCTATTTTTTTTTTTTTATTTATTGATTTCTCGATAATCAATATTCGTGTTTTGTCTCTTGCAGAATTTTTTTTAGGTTATGTGCGAAAGCAACAGACAACAATAGTCGCGATCTATCATAAGATCAAGACGCATTCGCTTCTCTTTTCTTCTTTTTTTTCTTTTCAGAGACAATATAATTCATTTTCGGTTTCATTTCGTTAACCTATCAATGGGGTGTATATAATATTAATATTAAAGATAACAGACGATATATTACAACCGTTAATCCTAAGAGTATAGGATATTCGAAAGGATCATTGTCACCCGTGTTGAAAATACGCATTTCTCACGGTTTAATCCCAAAAAATATTCGCTTTTTTTTTTATCGCGACAAAGGATTTTTTTCCGCTTTGTAATAAATCCGACTGATCACGTATTCCTTTCGCTTTATCGTTAAGTACATGAACAAAAATAATCGATAATGACAATAATATTATCAATAATTAATAGTAATAATAATAATAATAATAATTATCAATTAATAATAATAATTATCAATTAATAATAATAATAATAATAATAATAATAATAAAATAATAATAATAATAAAATAATATCATATATCAATAGTATTAATTATTTTCCTATTATCTTAATCGAACGATTACGTAATAATTAATATCTAACACTAAGCCTTCCTAACAGCAATTGTTTTGCTAACTTTTTACAAGACTTTTGGTTTCCATCTCCGTTTCCTTCTCATTCGTACATTAAGTTTCTACTTAAAATTCTAACGAACCGAGTTGACCTCATCTACAAGGCCTCGAAGGGTTTAGGACTAGACAGCCTCATTCATCATAGCCTGATCTTCCGTCTCCCTTCTTTCTTTCTTTCTTTCTAGTTTCATCTCTTTTCAGTTTGTGAGTAACATCATCGTCTCGCCTCCTTTTTTTAGTTCACCCCTGTATACGCGTTAGCGAAATAGTTTCGCGCTAACGAATCACTGACTAGTTTTTAACCGTTAAAATTATTCGGTCATGCTAATTAAGGCACCTGATCACTTTAAGATTGGACGAACGAATTCTTTGCATCGTGCAACTCTCTTCTTACACAACTATACGTGTAGATTAATTAATTATTCGGGGGGAAATGATCCGTATTTAGAATACATTAACAACATGTAGCAATTATATATTGGAACTTTTCGTTTGAGAGAAAGTTAAAATTATAGGTTATGAAATACTACTCGCTATGCAATAATAAATATATCATCAAAATTACGAATGAAATAGCGTTATAAATCGATTAATACATCTACCATTCACTTATTTACAAGTTTTTAACGATTTTTATATATATAAATATATATATATATATAAGAAGAAACAACTATACAGTATTTTTCATCAACAAAATTTTGGTGCTTTTACAAAAATCTTTTTAAATATTATAACGAGGTTCAAATTTCTTTTGATTATCGATTCGTTCGTCCGTTGGTCCTCAGTGTTCATTTAAATAACATCTATAAATCATAAATCATAAAAAAAAAGGCATCATCCTTAAGACACTTGGTGATTTCGCTGACACGCGATTATAAGGCAACGTCGGTTTAATCGTAACGCATTATTTTCGCGTTATTTACAATATATAATTTTTCAAAAAATTATTCAAGCAATTAAAAGAAATATATTCAAATAAAAAATAAAATCCACGAAACTAAAAATATTTTCTCAAAGTTCCTCTTTTTTTTTTTTTCGTTATGCTGAATAAATTAAAAGTCAAAGAAATTAAGAAATCTATTACGATATAATAAAAAAAAAAATAAAAGAATTTTTAAATAAATTACATTTTTCGCGATAAAATTCTTATCAAAACGAGTAAAAAAGCACTTTTCTATTTAATAAATTATCAATTATTTATAAAGCTTCGTGGAAACTTTATCTCTGAATTATTAATAATACGTGTCAACTATAGAAAGAACATTTCTTATATGTAAAATGGAAAACGTATATCTCGGCGAATTGAATCTAACAAGCTATACACTTAAATTTAAGAAATAGTCTTCGACCAATATTCAGAAATGATATCTGTAAAAGCATCAAAACTAAGTTTCAATATTCTGTATAATAATAAAAAAAAAAAAAATTAGCAATGATAATAACGGTCTATGAAAAAACATTAAAAATTATTCGTCGATACTGGAAGAGATACATATTATTCTTTCTTCCAAAACTTATTGCCAATATAATCAACAATTATTCTCTCGTAAAAATACACATATTTTAAAGCAATATCAATTCTGAATACGGATCAGTCTTTCGATTCCACCTAATGTAGCGATTAATTCACTTCGTTCGAACGTATCTCAAATGATACATTACAAATTTCATCGTTATTAATCATGCGCGATCGATGCATAAGTAAATGTACAAAGAATCCGACGTTTCTAAATCGTTCTATTGAAAGCCTCTATTGCCCATCGTGCTCCATCGGTTATATAAATAATCGTAAACGCTAACGACAATTATTTTTACGTATTCGTCATGTATACTTCGAAGATATATTGGCCGAGCGTGCCAAGTTTGGCCCTATAAAGGAGAACGTGGAAAGGAAGAATTAAAGTGGGGAAGATTAAAGGTTAAGTTAGGTTAAGAAACGATCGAACCATCGATCCTGAGTGACGTGGGGCCGTATCCAACGAAGCTTCCTCGTTTCCTCTGCCTCTCGGTCGATACGTCGTTTCCAAAATTAACACGTGAGAACGGTGAGCTGGCTACAGCTACGAAAACGTTCGAAACAATGGCTTCTTCTCTCGTTTGGCGGAATGGAATCGCGCCGAACAGTAACCCTGCCCCCTCTCGGAGAAAGGAAGAAGCTTTGGAAAAGAAGTAGATCGACACGAAGAGACAGGCGAAGAAGATTAAACACGTGTGTGTGTGTGTCTATATATATATATATATATATATATATATATATATATAGTACG